GAGAGTGAAAGGGAAGAGAGAATGGTGAGAGTGGGAGGGAAGAGAAAACTGTGAGGGTGAGAGGGAAGAGAGAATGGTGAGAGTGAGAGGGAAGAGAGAACTGTGAGGGTGAGAGGGAAGAGAGAACTGTGAGGGTGAGAGGGGAAGAGAATAATGGTGAGAGTGAGAGGGAAGAGAGAACTGTGAGGGTGAGACGGGAAGAGAGAACTGTGAGGGTGAGAGGGAGAGAAAATTGGTGAGAGTGAGAGGGAAGAGAGAACTGTGAGGGTGAGAGGGAAGAGAGAATGGTGAGAGTGAGGGGAGAAGAGAGAACGTGTGAGGGTGAGAGGAAGAAGAATGGTGAGAGTGAGAGGGAAGAGGGAATGGTGAGAGTGGGAGGGAAGAGAGAACTGTGAGGGTGAGAGGGAAGAGAGAATGGTGAGAGTGAGAGGGAAGAGGGAACTGTGAGGGTGAGAGGGAAGAGAGAACTGTGAGGGTGAGAGGGAAGAGAAAACGGTGAGAGTGAGAGGGAAGAGAGAACTGTGAGGGTGAGAGGGAAGAGAGAACGTGAGGGTGAGAGGGAAGAGAAAATTGTGAGAGTGAAAGGGAAGAGAGAACTGTGAGGGTGAGAGGGAAGAGAGAACTGTGAGGTGAGAGGGAAGAGAAAATGGTGAGAGTGGAGAGGAAGAGAGAACTGTGAGGGTGAGAGGGAAGAGAGAATCTGTGAGGTGAGAGGGAAGAGAGAAACTGTAGGGTGAGAGGGAAGAGAAAATGGTGAGAGTGAGAGGGAAGAGAGAACTGTGAGGGTGAGAGGGAAGAGAGAATGGTGAGAGTGAGAGGGAAGAGAGAACTGTGAGGGTGAGAGGGAAGAGAGAATGGTGAGAGTGAGTGGGGAGGAGAGAATGGTGGGTGAGAGGGAAGAGAGAGTGTAAGAGAAAGAGGGGAGAGAGAGAGAGAGAAAGGTTAAGTGTGAGAGGGGAGAGAGAAGAGTTAGAGACTCTAGAGTGATGGATAAAGTGAGAAGGGAAAGAGAGGAGAGGGAATGAGACGAAATAATGAAATGTGAAAATGAGAAGAGAGAAAGAGTGTGAAAAATGAGAAAGTAATCAGAAACTGATTATTCAGTAAAGAAAAAGTAAATAAGAGAGAGTGAAAAGAAAATTGGAATAGTGAAGATTGCAGAGAGCAAGGGAAGGGATGATAAGAATGGTAAAGTGACCGAGAATTGAAAAGAGAGATGAGAGAGAGAGAGAGAGAGAGGAGGAGAAGGAGAGAGAAGAGAGAGAGAGAGAGAGAGAGAGAGGAGAGGAGAGAGAGAGAGAGAGAGAGAGGAGAGGGGAAGAGAGAGAGAGAGAGAGAGCGAGAGGGAGAGAGACGAGAGAGAGAGAGAGAGAGAGAGAGGAGAGAGAGAGAGAGAGAGAGAGAGAGAGAGAGAGAGAGAGAGAGAGAAGAGAGAGAGCAGAGAGAGAGAGAGAGAGACAGAGAGTGAGAGAGAGAGAGACGGAGAGAGAGAGGAGAGAGACAGAGAGAGAGGGGAGAGAGAAGAGAGAGGAGAGAGAGAGAAGACAGTGAGAGAGACAGAGAGAGACAGAGAGAGAGAGAGATTGAAACTGGTTGTGAAAGAGAAAGGAATGAATTATATGAGACAGAAATAGCAAGCGGGAGGTAGGCAAGAGAAGTGAAAGAAAGGAGGATTTAAGAAGGAAGAGGCTATAAAAATGGAAAACACATAAATACACACATACACACATACCACACAACACACACACACAACTACCACACACATACACACAACACACACACATACACCACACAACACACACACCAACACACACACACACACACATACACATACACACACACACACTAAACACATACACACACCACACACACACACACATACACACTCACACACATACACACTACACAACACACACACACACACAAAACACAACACACACACACACACATACACCAACACACACACACACAACACAACACAAACACACACACACACACACACACAACATAAAACACACACCACCACACAAAACACACACACACAACACACACACACACACACACACACACACACACACCACACACACACACACACACACACACACAACACACACACAAAACACATACACACAACACATCACAACACACACAACACACACACACACAACACACACACACACATACACACACACACACATACACACACACACACATACACATACACACACACACACCACACACACACACACACACACACACACACACACACACACACACACACACACACACACACCCCACACACACACATACACACCACCCCACACACACACACATACACACACACCCCATACACATACACACACACACCACACACACACATACCACACCCCACAACAATACACACACACAACACACCACACACACCACACATACACACACACACAACACATCACACACACACACATACACATACACACAACACACATACACATAACACACACACACACAACACACACACACACACACACACACACACACACACCACACACACACACACATACACACACACAACACACCACTACAACATCACACAACACACAACACACACACACACACACACATACACACACACCACCACACACACACACACACACATCACACACATACACACCACACCACACACACACCACACACACACACCACACCTACACACACACATACACACACACACCACACACACACACACACACACACACAAAAAAACCCCACACACCCCACACACAAAACACACAACACACACAAAACCCAACACACACACACCACACAACACACACACACACAAAAACACACACACACACACACCACAAAAATACACACACACACCCCACAACACACACACACACACACACCCCCACACACACACCACACACACACCCCACACACACACACACATACACACCCACACACCCCACACACACACACACAAAACCACACATACACACCAAACACACACACACACACAAAACACACACACACACATACACACACACATCCCCACACAAAACACACACACACCACACACACAACACACACACATACCACAACCACACACAAAAACACACACACACACACACCCACACACACCCCCACACAAACCACAAAACCCACCCCCACCCCCACGCAAGGTCATGGAGAAGATCATCAGGAGGAGAGTGGTGGAGCACCTGGAAAGAAAAAGGGGTATAATTGAAAACCCCGCAGGGTTTCAGGGAAGGAAAATCCTGTGTCCCCAAACCTACTAGAGTTTTAATGACAAGGTGACAGAATTTAAGACAAGAGAGGGGAGGGGTGGATCGACTGCATTTTTTTTGGACTGCAAAAAAGCATTCGACACAGTTCCTCACAAGAGGTTACTGAAAAAGCTAGAAGATCAGGGCACACATAACAGAAAAGCACTGCAATGGAATCAGAGAATACCTGACAGGGAGGCAACAACGAGTCATGGTACGTGACGAGGTGTCGAGTGGGCGCTTGTGACAAGCGGGGTTCCACAGGGGTCAGTCCTAGGACCTTTTGCTGTTCTTGGTATATGTGAACGACATAACGGAAGGGATAGACTCAGAAGTGTCCTTGTTTGCGATGATGTGAAGTTAATGAAAAAGAATAAAATCGGATGAGGATCAGGCAGGACTACAAAGAGACCTGGACAGGCTGCAAGCCTGGTCCCAGCAACGGGCTCCTTGAGTTTAACCCTGCCAAATTGCAAAGTCATGAAGATTGGGGAAGGGCAAAGAAGACCGCAGGCACAATATAGTTAGATGGCCAAAGACTGCAAAACCTCACTCAAGGAAAAAGATCTGGGGTTTAGTATAACACCGAGCATATCTCCTGAGGCGCACATAAATCAGATAACTGCTGCAGCATACGGGCGCCTGGCAAACCTAGGATAGCGTTCCGATACCTCAGTAAGGATTCGTTCAAGACCCTGTATACCATTTACGTCGGGCCCATACTGGAGTATGCAGCACCAGTTTGGAATCCACACCTAGTCAAGCCGTCAAGAAATTAGAGAAAGGTGCAAAGGTTTGCAAACAAGACTAGTCCCAGGGGCTACGGGGATTGTCCTACGAAGAAAGTTGAGGGAAATCGGCCTGACGACACTGGAGCCAGGAGGGTCAGGGGAGACATGATAACAACATATAAAATACTGCGCGGAATAGACAAGGTGGACAAAGACAGGATGTTCCAGAGATGGGACACAGACACAAGAGGTCACATTGGAAGTTGAAGACTCAGATGAATCGAAGGGATGTTAGGAAGTAATTTCTTCAGTCTAGAGTAGTCAAGTCAGGAATAGTCTAAAAGTGAAGTAGTGGAGGCGGGAACCATACATAGTTTTAAGGCGAGGTATGATAAAGCTCATGTAGGCAGGGAGAGAGTGGACCTAGTAGCAATCAGTGAAGAGGCGGGGCCAGGAGCTATGACTCGACCCCTGCAACCACAAATAGGTGAGTACAAATAGGTGAGTACACACACACACACACACACACACACACACACCAATCACACACACACACACAACACACACACCACACACACACACAACACACACACACACACAACACACACACATACACACACACACACACACACACACACACACACACACACACACACACACAACACACACACACAACACACACACACACACACACACACACACACCCACACACACACACACCACACACACACCATACACACACACACACACACACACACACACACACACAAACACACACACACATACACACCACACACCACACACACACACACCACACACAACACACACACAACCACACACACACACACACACACACACAGACACACACACACACCACACACACACACACACACACACACCACACACACACACACACACACACACACACACACACACACACACTGTTATGGCGAGGTTCTTTGATGTGGATCCTGTCTTGCTTCACAACACTTACTTATACACTTGGGGATCCTGCCTTGCCAAGTGGTTCTCAGACAAGTGGCGAACTGGTCACCGTCGAACCTGGTGAAGCCCTTCTTGCACTTAAAGGTCGCCACTCGACCTTTTTTCCTGATCTTCACTCGACCGTTCTCAAGGTCGATCCACGGACAGTTCGGCTTGCTCTCTGAAATAAAGAGACGTGGAGTGAGTTAATGTTTATGTGTGTGTGTGTAAGAGAGAGAGAGAGAGAGAGAGAGAGAGAGAGAGAGAGAGAGAGATACAGACAGACACACAGACAAAGGGAGAAAGACAGAGACAGACAGACGAACAGGAGACAACATCAGATCATTATTAGCAGATTGTTGGTCATTATTAGTAACCATCATATGATGATTGGCTGCTTGATCAAGTTTATATCAACCAATGAGAGAGCTGGATTTCGGGAGGGAGCCGCCGTTCGAAGGTGCGGCGGTGACCTTGCTCAGCCAATTGGGTGGCTGCAGGCAGTTGGAACTTGCTGATTGGTTGTGGTAAGGGTCATGGTGTAATCTTCGCTACTATGATTGGCTATTCTGAGCTGACCAATCGCAGTCCCAGCACAGTGTTACACAATGCCAGACAGACACCTGACGTCCTGTGATACCCTGTGTCGTGAGTAACCCTGTGCTCTGTGAGTGGTACCTTATACTTCAACTGTGACGTATAATATACCTCATACTTCACTTATAACGTATAAGCTATACGTTATATTTCATCTATGACTCTGAACTCGCGCTAAACCCTGGTGGTTATCCTCCTCATTATCCTGCGATGTGAATTCGATGCTCTGACCTTTCAGATCTCTTTCCGCGCTCTTATTTTCTGTTTGTTGCATCAGCTTCCTTCGCTGAGCTGACGCTGGGTTTCCACTCACTGCATCTCTGAGACACCGAACTCACATAACACTGCCTTTCCTTTTCCTATTTACCTATACTTGTATTTCTTTCCTGTTTTCTCTTTTTCCGACTGAGATGTGAGCTGCTTGCACTCGTCAGCACTGTCGCTGACTTGTGGCGTTGGAGCATTTTCACTACAATCTGCCACGAGAAAATCATATCGAAACCGCGAAATGTGTACACACTTGCCTCTCAATTACCACTAGCCACGGTCCTCTAAGAGCGCAGTTTCCCCATCACCTCTTTCCCCTCCAAACAAATGGGGAAAAGTCCCAGCCTACACTCATCCTTCCAGCTGGAGTTGTATAAACTGAACTCTGCCTCTCGCTCCGAACATTGCTGAGAGCATGTGACATCCCCACATACATACGCATGCACACACATATACACCTTGTGAGCAACGGCCCTCTCTCTCTCTCTCTCTCTCTCTCTCTCTCTCTCTCTCTCTCTCTCTCTCTCTCTAACAGTTACAACAGACGGAGAAACGGTAAGTCAGAACCCATCCCCTTAACAGAGAGACAAGGGAAACACCAACAGAAGTAAACTCGGAGTACACCAGGATCCTTATTCGCTAACAACCATCAGGAAAGATGATACCACCAGGAAAATGAAGCCATCAGGAAAAATAAAAAGCCCATCGTATATGAAAAAGCCCCTCCCTGAGGAAAACATGCCAGAGCCACTGTCAACAAGAGATCAGATAGTAAGAGGAACTTGACCCGGTAAAGTTTTACGCAACATATCTGTGTGTATTTCTCTGGATAAAAACTCCGTGTTAGGTTCTACCGTCACGTCACATTTACAGTCCTTCACTGATTCACAGCCAGTCGTTGTTCAGTACTGTAGTTTGACTGTGAGGTGACTCAGGGTTCTGGGTGAAGAAGGTGAGTGAGGTGACTCAGGATCCTGGGTGAAGAAGGTGAGTGAGGTGACTCATGATCCTGGGTGAAGAAGGTGAGTGAGGTGACTCATGATCCTGGGTGAAGGTGAGTGAGGTGACTCAGGATCCTGGGTGAAGAAGGTAAGTGAGGTGACTCAGGATCCTGGGTGAAGAAGGTGAGTGAGGTGAATCAGGATCCTGGGTGAAGAAGGTGAGTGAGGTGACTCATGATCCTGGGTGAAGAAGGTGAGTGAGGTGACTCATGATCCTGGGTGAAGAAGGTGAGTGAGGTGACTCAGGATCCTGGGTGAAGAAGGTGAGTGAGGTGACTCAGGATCCTGGGTGAAGAAGGTGAGTGAGGTGACTCATGATCCTGGTGAAGAAGGTGAGTGAGGTGACTCAGGATCCTGGGTGAAGAAGGTGAGTGAGGTGACTCAGGATCCTGGGTGAAGAAGGTGAGTGAGGTGACTCAGGATCCTGGGTGAAGAAGGTGAGTGAGGTGACTCAGGATCCTGGGTGAAGAAGGTGAGTGAGGTGACTCATGATCCTGGGTGAAGGTGAGTGAGGTGACTCAGGATCCTGGGTGAAGAAGGTAAGTGAGGTGACTCAGGATCCTGGGTGAAGAAGGTGAGTGAGGTGACTCAGGATCCTGGGTGAAGAAGGTGAGTGAGGTGACTCAGGATCCTGGGTGAAGAAGGTAAGTGAGGTGACTCAGGGTCCTGAGTCACCTCACTCACCTTCTTCGTCCAGGACCCTCTCCAACTTCCTCATCTTCTCTTCACCAAAAATGAGGATGAGGAAGTTGGAAAGAAGAGGAGGACGAAGAAAACAAGGAAATAGAGAGACAGAAGGAGGAGAAGGAAAGACACAAGAAATAAATAGAAGAGATGGAATAAGGGACGCTAGTTAAACAAATATATCTAAATGGGAGAAAAGGGAGAGAAAGAGTGGAAAGGGAAGAAAAAGGAGCGAGGAAAAGAAGACAATAAAGTAGGAAGGAAAACAAGAAAACAAACGTGACGTAGTTTACAGTAACATCAAAATTAGTGGATACAAGAATTGATAATGAGATGACAGACACAACTGTCTTATGACTGTATACATACATGCATGTATGTATGCATACATGCATGTATGTATGCATACATGCATGTATGTATGCATACATGCATACATTACAAACATACACACGCACCTTATGATTGTATATCTACATACATTACAAACATATATTCATGCTTATTGGTATAAATATACAGCAATATATACAAGCCTGATTAAAGGCATACATACATGTGAAGTTGGAAAGAAAGAGACATAGAATAGTAAGATCAAATTGGTAATTATAAAAATGTGAGAGAGAGAGGGAGAGAGAGAGAGAGAGAGAGAGAGAGAGAGAGAGGAGAGAGAGAGAGAGAGAGAGAGAGAGAGAGGGAGAGAGAGAGAGAGAAAGAGAGTGAGAGTGAGAGAGAGCGAGAGAGAGAGAATTATAATTACTAGTTAAGTTCTCTATCGTAATTATTGCAAATAAACCTTTCCTAACAAGTAAGTCCCTTTATTGTGAAAGTCTACGGTCATCACACTGCTTATTTCACTTCTCTGGGAGAGGCGCTTGGGACGAGGCTGATAACGTAGAGGCTTGGGACGAGACTGATAACAACAGTGTGTGTGTGTGAACATCAAAATGGTATACAATACCGACAGGTTGGTAAGTAAGACACATAGGCAACAGTTAGGCAACTTTATTCCGAAGCGTTTCGCCTACACAATAGGCTTCTTCAGTCGAATACAGAAAGTAGGCAGGAACAGTAGAGATGTGAAGACGAAGTAATCAGTCCATCAATTTGAAGTCGTAGAATTTGAGGTTGTCAGTCCCTCAGCCTGGAGAAGTTCAGTTCCATAGTCTGGAACTATCTGAAGATCAAGCGACAGTGCGGAGACTTAAATACTGTCGGAAGGAGAGGTGCAGAGTAGTAGTGAGAATGTAGCCAGTGAGAGGTCACGTCCCTCTCAGATCCAACAGTTCTCACTTGAAAAGGTTGTTCAAGGTGTTTTCTATACCAAGATGCCATGTGTTGCAGTGTCTGACAAGATGAACATCAAAATGGTATACAATACCGACAGGTTGGTAGGTAAGACACATAGGCAACAGTTAGGCAACTTTATTCCGAAACGTTTCGCCTACACAGTAGGCTTCTTCAGTCGAATACAGAAAGTAGGCAGGAACAGTAAAGATGTGAAGACGATGTAATCAGTCCATCACCCTTGAAGTCGTAGAGGGACGTGACCTCTCAGTGGCTACATTCTCACTACTACTACTCTGCACCTCTCCTTCCGACAGTATTTAAGTCTCCGCACTGTCGCTTGATCTTCAGATAGTTCCAGACTATGGAACTGAACTTCTCCAGGCTGAGGGACTGACAACCTCAAATTCTACGACTTCAAGGGTGATGGACTGATTACATCGTCTTCACATCTCTACTGTTCCTGCCTACTTTCTGTATTCGACTGAAGAAGCCTACTGTGTAGGCGAAACGTTTCGGAATAAAGTTGCCTAACTGTTGCCTATGTGTCTTACCTACCAGTGTGTGTGTGTGCGTGTGTGTGTGTGTGTGTGTGTGTGTGTGTGTGTGTGTGTGTGTGTGTGTGTGTGTGTGTGTGTGTGTGTGTGTGTGTGAGTGTGTGTGTGTTCTTCTTCTTACCTATTTGTTCTTATTTGTGGTTGTAGGGATCGATTTACAGCTCCTGGCCCTGCCTTTTCACTGGTCGCTAATAGGTACACTCTCTCCCTGATCCATGAACTTTATCATACCTCTTCTTAAAGCTATGTATGGATCCTGTCTCCACTACATCACTCTCCAGAGTATTCTACTTCCTGACAACTCTGTGACTGAAGAAACACTTCCTAACATCCCTGTGAATCATCTGAGTCTTCAACTTCCTACAGTGACCCCTTGTTGTTGTGTCCCATCTCTGAAACATCCTTTCCCTATCCACCTTGTACTCACCTATTTGTACTCACCTGTTTGTCGTTGCATGGGTTGAGTCATAGCTCCTGGCCCCACCTCTTCACTGATTGCTACTAGGTCCTCTCTCTCCCTGCTCCATGAACTTCATCAAACCTCGTCTTAAGACGAGGTTTGGTCCTTGCCTCCACTACGTCACTTTCTAGGCTCTTCCACTGCCTGACAACTCTATGACTGAAGAAACACTTTCTAACATCCCTTTGACTCATAGGAGTCTTCAACTTCCAGTTGTGATCTCTTGTTTCTGTGTCCCATTTCTGGAGCATCCTGTGTGTGTGTGTGTGTGTGTGTGTGTGTGTGTGTGTGTGTGTGTGTGTGTGTGTGTGTGTGTGTGTGTGTCTGA